TACCCAGCAAGGCATTTCTGTGGCCTTACAGCTAAACAAACAGAACCAAAGGGTTTAGATCAAAGTTAGTGATTTTTTCTTGTTTTGTAGTCTCCTTTCTCCCTCCGTTCAAGCTACCTGCACCTAAGTCACTCTTTAACCAGGATAATCCAGATGTAGGAGGAAGCAGAGCAGAAGGTGAGCTGGACAGAGAAAAAAAAGTTAAAGATTTCTATCTCCCCTTTGTGCAACAGTTTTTTTATGATAAAAGACAAGGAAAGACAAGGATAGACAAGGAACTCTCACAGCAGTGTTATGAGCTGGATGCTTGCTTGGGAGCACTCTATAATACTTTTGATGAGATGGCAGCTGGGCGGTAGGTAATTTTTGTGATATGTTTAATTTTTAGGAGTGAAGAGTGAAAGACAACATAACAGGCAAAAGAGTAGGAGAGTTTCTACTGTAGCAATAATTTAATAGTTAAGCTGCCAGAGCATGCCTGTTGCTGTCTCTGGCCTTCTGGGTCATTCTATTCTTCTTCCTAATGTCCTCTAAGGAACTGTGTATCATACAGAATTGACTACTACCTCTAATTTTTCAACTCAAATGAGGCAAACTAGTATGTATTTGGTGTTTTGCAGCAGCAAACATTACTGAATCAGGAGCAAAAATATTTCTCAAGCATCCCCATATTCTGCATATTAGTCAAGCTGCAGTTCAGGCTCCATAAGCAAATTACTTGATTCAGCTGCAGCAGCTCCTTCTCACGTTCTCATGAATCCTTTGACAAATGCTCAAAACTTGTGTGCATATTGGTCACAAAAAACAACTAGTATATGCTTTCAAACACAGAACTCCATCCAATCTGCCCAGAATGCCCCAATCATTATCTCTATATTAAAGGTGCACTGCTGCTAATTAACAGCTTGGCTCAAATAGGTGATATGAAAAAGCCAAGAATGGACATGCCAAAGTATAAAGAACACAAAAGTAGTTCGTGACTTCTGAAAATGCCAAGTTGCTTTCCATCTGGCCCCCAAGAACTTGTTCATTTACAACAACTGGTCAGAGGGGTGCAGTTAAAACACCAGCTCTGAAAACAGCAGCTATTATCCACCTTCAGTGGTTAACAGCACACAGAATTTCCCTCCTATGAAAAGCAAAGGAGAAAGAGGGTTAGTCGCTTCACCATCTCCTCACAGGTGGATCACACAGTGTGCCTTTACCCTTGGTGCAAGCTGTCACTATCTGATCCATTTTTATGATTAAAATTACCTCATGAAACCAGGCTATCTTCATTATTGCATATCTTATCCAACATTACAGAAGAGGTCAAACAGTCAAGTCTACAGAATGACAGAAGAGACGACCAGAAAGAACATTGACAGACTGATGAGAATACAAAAGGCTCTTCCTCATTACAACTACAGTAATAAATAATTCTACAGTGATACACTAATGCTTTTTAGAGAAGACCCTCAGTAACAATAAAAAGGTTTTATCTGTTTGGGGTTTTTTTTCTTTTTAATTAAAATGCTCAGCTGCCATCTCAGCTTTGTTCAGTGGCAAGATGGATTTTGTGTCTGTTTCATACAGGGCAAAAACTCTCAGGAATACCAACACCATTGCAAGGCAGGGACAGGCTGGGAAGCTTCTTTGCTCCCCTGCTCCCCCTCTTTTTTTTTTTTTTTAGGGAGAGGAGTGAATTAGTTGGTTTTACTTACACTTTTATAAAATTATCAGAGAAGTTGTGATTCACCATAAAAAAACCTGTGTGCACAGATTTCTGAACCATGAGAATGAATGACAAAAGCAGGACAGATT